TTGAGAGAGAGAGCACAAGCAGGGGAAGGGCAGAGAGAGAGGGAGGCACAGAATCTGAAGCAGGCTCCAGGCTCTGAGTTGTCAGCACAGAGCCTGACTTGGGGCTTGAACCCCAGGAACCGTGAGATCATGACCTGAGCTGAAGTCAGACACCCAACCGACTAAGCCACCCAGGCATCCCTGAAGTTATTTTATTGTCACCAATAGCCCTGGGGAGGCCTCGCTTTTCTCCTGCACTGAGAGAATTACCATCTCTCTCTAGGCCTTGACACCTAGGGAAATCAGTTGGCTCAATCTCTGCCGCCTGCTCCACTGACTGCAAAAACAGCCTTAAATTATCCAAGGCAGTTCACCCTTGACCTGCCTAATTATGCCAGCACCTGTATGCAGACATCACTTAACTAAAATGCAAACCATGGGCTTGATCTACTAACATTGGTAAGACTAGCTCTCGTGTGTTGAACTCTTCAGTTCTTATGAGCAAACTCTTATTTTAATCTTCATGCTTATAAAATAGGATTCATATATTTGTTCCTCTTTTAGAGAGGCAAAAATTAAGGAAAAAGGAAGTACCCAAGAGCTCACACAACTAGAGAGCAGTAGAGTGGGGCCCCCAGCAGCCCGACACCAGCATCCGACACTGTAAGTTATGGCTTAGACAAAACTTAATTCCAAACACTGAAAATATCATCATTCAGAAGACAGAGAGGAGAGCATTTATAAATTTAATTGCAAGGATATTTAAAACTTTTTAAGAAAACCCAGAGTGTGGAGGGGGTTGCTCTAAATCTGCTTTGAGTTGGATTTTTAGTTTTGGGCTTTTTGGGAGCTGTCGGTTTGTTTTGATTTGGTTTGATTTTGCCTATGAGTACCAATATTTTTGTTTAATAAACAGGAATGTGGTATTTAATCTACTTAAGATGATGAGCTGAGAGCTAAACTTTTAGCTAACTGCTAAACTTTTACTTTTATCAATGAGATAGAAGGGAATGTGAGCTGATAAACACTTTGTAAAGTCTCATCTTTGAATTCTAGAAATTTCTTTTTTTTTTTTTTTTT